TCCGTCAATGGATTTATGGAACCATCTCTTCTGATCTTTTGAACACGATAATTAATCCCGAAGACACGGCATTAGATGCTTGGACTCACTTTCAAGATAATAAAACATCACGAGCTCTCCACCTTGAAACGGAATTCACGAACACTAATTTACGTGATTTTCTCGATGCGAAGGCTTATACTAGACGCCTTAAAGTCCTAGCAGATCAGCTGGCTAACGTTGGTTCCACAGTCTCAGATCAACTAATTGTTTTACGTCTTCTCAATGGTCTCACAGATGCTTATGATGGATTCGTTACAGTGATTCAGAACAAGGCGCCGTTACCTTCCTTTGCCCAGGTACGATCCATGTTGCTCCTTGAAGAAACAACAAAAGCGGAACGTGCAAAGCTTGATTCTATGAATGCTTCTGCTATGATTGCTAAAACTGCCACTGATTCGGTTACTCTCTCCAATACCGACGCTACTCATTCTCTTCCTCCTTCTACTGGTGGCCGGCGACAGAATCAACGAGGATGTGGTGGTCGGAATGCTAATAGCAGACGTGGTCAATCTGGTGCAGGGGGTGGTCGTGGTTCTTCTGGTCATTCCTATGGCAATTCTTCTGGACATTCTGGCCATGGTTTTAATCAACAGTCTTGGAGTTACATGCTTGTGTTTCCTCCATGGGGTACCTGGTATCCTTACTATTCTCAGCAACAGCAATGGAGTCCTCCTCCATGTCTATATCCTAACTGGGTTCCTCGATCATCCACCTCCACTCCAAGACAGCCGGGTATTTTGGGTGCACATCCAGCTCAATCTTTTCATACTGCAGTGTCTTCTTCGAATGACTGCACTCCAACTGACATTGATCAAGCGATGCATACTCTATCCTTACAGCAGCCACCATAACATTAGAATATGCATAGTGCTGCCACTGTAACGCCCTGATTTTCTGTGTCTAAAATAATAATTTTACCGGTCTGTGAATAGTACCACCGGTCTGTGAATAGTACCATCGGTCCGGGAATAAGTATTATTTTGGTCCGCTAAAGATAATAATTTTACGGTCTGTGAAAATAGTACCCACGGTCTGTGAATAGTACCATCGGTCCCCGGGAATAAGTATTATTTTGGTCCGAAAAAATAACTATCTATTGTCATATTTTTTTATTTAATATTTTTTTGGGAAGTATTCATACACGATTTTTTATGGGTAGAAAATAAGTAATGAATATTTTTGAAGAATTTATGATTAATTAGTGAATAGTGAATTATGGTGTTATATTAAGTAAGGAATTGAGGAATTTATTTTTTAAGGATTAAATTTGAGAATTTTTATGGAGAAAAATAATATTTTGAAAGGGAATTTATTGGAGAATTATTTGTAGCCATTAGATGAGATTAACTTTGACTTAATCTTAGCCATCCAATTGTGGGAATTGTGGGAAAAGACTAAACTACCCTTTAGTTGCTTTATATGTCAACTTCTCAATTATTGAGCAACACTTTTTCTTTTCTTCTTCTTCTCCTCCATTTCCAACGCTAACTTCCTCTCTTCTTCTCTTCTTTTTTTTCTTCACTTCTACTCACTAAATCCACCAAATTTACACCATTAAACTTGATTTAATTAATTAAGCTTTGAGATTAAAGCTTGAGAAGTAATTTTTGGTGAATCATTTCAAGAAATTTGGAGATTCTCTACTTGAGCCAAAGGTTGGAGAAACCTCTTCCGTGGAGTAAAGGTAAAGTTAGGGCTTAGAAAGCTTTAATTTAAGCTTGCTAAAAAGCCCTTATTTTTTAAAGGTTAGTGTTCATAACCACATTACCTTACTCTAATTTTTTGTTTTGTTGCATTTATGCTATCATGTGTAATAGTTTTTTTGGGATTTTGTATGAAAATGATGTATTTGTTGAAACTTTGGTTGCAATAACATGCTCCTTGGGTGATGTTTGATGAGTATTTAGTATGTGGTAGAACCTCTACCTTGTATCTTATGTCTTTCATGTTCTTTTTCATTGGGCAAAGGTAAGCTGAAATTTTGGGGATAAGGTGTTATTGGGTGAGATTAAGGACTTATTTTTCGAATCCCTTTCTACCTCCCATTTTTGTGTCTAAGTCCCTTATAAATAAGTTTTGTAGGTCTATCTTCTTCTTAGCTTTCCAACCCATCCTTTTTGTTGTCAATTTGGATATATATAAGCTCAACTTATGGCTGAAAACACCATAACTGACCCTCTGTTATTGCGGGCCACAAATGCAATCTTGAATTGGAGTGGCCCAATTTTTGACGCACTATAATTGGCTAAGATTATGTTCTGAGTTCTTCATGAGAGTTATTGGCACACTGTGTCTTCAGACTCTCTGGTTTTTGGATTTCTCTGGTTTTGGATTGATTTAATTTGAGTGTTTGGTTAAGGAGGAATTCAATAAACATTGGACTTGGTTCTACTGAATCAGGTCTGGACTGTAGGTCTGTGTTCCTAGCTTTTGTTTGCTACCTTATAGATTGATCTGGGCTGTGGTCCCTTAGTAGCATTTGTAGTATTTTGTCTTATCTTTCTAATGAATCTAATTTCATTCAATTTGGAGACATATAATTCATGTTATGTCTTAAAAACCCATCAAAGGTCAAGGTTATTTTAATGCTGGAAATTTCTTATGTCTTGAATCATAGGTTTATTTGGATAAAGATATGTAAGAATCAGGTGTGAGGAAGTTTTTCTTGATTATTTGTAGTTTTTTTAGGAGTTATTTGACAAAAATAAGACAAGTTTAAAAAGTGTCATTGTGGATATGTTTAAATGGATATAAATGGGAAAAACTTGTTGGAAATTTCGGGAAAAAGTGTGGAATTGGTTTAGATAATGCATAGATTAATGCATGATGAGGGTTGAAATGGATACTTTGGTGCATAAGAGTTAATGTTTAGCAATGCTTGATTGGAAGAAGGATAAGTTCCTCCCTTGATTTTCATTAAGAGGTCGACCACCTTAGGGTAGTAAGGCTTTATTTAAATTGTTTTTTTTTTATGTTATGGTTATATATATATGAACATAAGTATGATTATTTTGAATAACTTTCGTATGTTTTAGAGTTTTTAAAAAAATGGTAATTTAAGATTTAAGGTGTATGTGCTTTAATTTTGAATCAGGAAAGTATGATTTTATATAATAAGAAATTACTTATGATAAATTTCATTATGACTTTAAAAAAAATTTTAAAAGAAAAGGAATTTACGAGGAACTTCCTATATTGAGTAATTATGTTTTCATGAGTCACTTAAGTTCTAAAGTAAGTTTGCATGTATGATTTCATATGATAAGAAATTTTCTAAGTTAAGTAATTTTGCTTAAGTATGAATTTTTCATGAGTTACTGACATTCTAAAGTAAGGTAACATTATGAATTTAAGAAGACTAAAGCATAAGACAAGTTTTATGAGAAGTGTTATGAATTAAGAATTAAAACAATGATTTTGGGCTTTAATATACTTGGTGTGAAGCATTATTATGTATGATGAGCATGCTCGACATTTGATCCATTATGATATAAAGCTATGATCATATGCTTAGCATTGTGGGTCTTATTTACGCGGACGCGCTCTATATGTTATAAAATTTGGCGACCTAAGGCCATTATGATAATATGAAAACCTATCTGCTTCTCTTTCTCCTAGAAGTGTATGCGAGCCCTTGGAAAATATTTTTAAGGCACTTAAATGAATGAGATTATATTATTTCAGTAAACCTTAGTTTGGAAATAAATGATTATGCTATCAAATGAATTTTCAAAGCATCATATTTCGATACATGGTTTTAAAATAAATAGTATGTGTATTGGTATAATAAATGTCCAAGTAATGAATATATGATTTGGAAGAATTAAATTATTTATGTTATTAATTATAAGTTTATTTGATATTTCTTTTGCTATAAATGTAAATGTATGTTTTTTTTTTATGAAAATTTATATTTTAAGTGTGTTGCCACTGCAACATTGGTAAGTTTGTCATTTATGAGCACCACTGAGTTTTATACTCAGCGCGTTGATTTTTATCACGCGCAGGTTGAAGTCTGTGGTTGCTACTTGAAGAAGAGTAAGCTTTCAACAAACAGAAGAGGACTATTTTATATGTATGAATTAGTTTGATTACTTAAAATCATGGGCATTATATAATTATTACATTTTCGGAATTATGTTATTTGAATTATAACTTAAAGCAATTGTAATGATAAATTAGTTTGGTGTTATATAGTTGGAGATAAGCATGAGATTTTATTTAATGTTGGATATAAAATATGTTTAAGATAGTTGTATGATTAAGAACATAAGGACTTGATATATATATTAATATATATATATATATATTCATATATATATATATATAATATATATAATGAATGTATTTAATTAAGGAATTATATATATATATATAATGAATGTATTTAATTAATGAATATTAAAATGTTATTGAGGAATTATGTAGTTATGAAATTATAGAAGTGCTATTGTTTTGTTATTGGAGTTTGATGGGGTTTGGAGTTTGAATTTGGGAGTGTTTTATATTCATATGTTTGGCAACTTCTATTTTTAGGGGAAACTCATGCAGTTTTTCTGTAGGACTCTCCCAAATCATTTGTAAAACAAATATTATTACTTGCTAAACTTGTGAAAACTAAGTCACTTCTAATTCATAATATGGTTGTATGATTTTATGTAGGTTAGGATGGTGCCTCCGGCACCGAATCTGGCATCCACCGTCGGGTCTTTCGGGATTGGGCGGTGGGTATTACAGCCACTTCTAACATGACAGCAAACTCAGGTACTCTCACTTCTTATTCTCAATTAAGCCGAAGTAATGGTATACTTGTTGGTAATGGTAACAAAATTCCAATTCAGGGTTAGGGTCATGTTGTTTTTCCCCATATGAACCCACCTTTGCATCTTAATCATGTTTTACATGCTCCTAAATTAATTAAAAATCTTGTTTCCGTTAGGAAATTTACTATTGATAACATGACCTCTGTTGAATTTGATCCTTTTGGGTTTACTGTGAAGGACAATCTTCTGAGATGTGATAGCACGGGGGACCTCTATCCAATCACAAATTTCGCCTGTCTTTCTATGTTTTTTGCTCCATCTGCCTTTTCTGCCATTTCTTTGGATCAGTGGCATAATCGTTTGGGTCATCCGGGGATAGATGTAATCAAGTCGCTTAGGCAAAATAATTTTATATATTGCAATAAAGACATCATTTTTTTTGTAATTCTTGTCAACTTGGCAAATCTGTTAAACTTCCATTTTATGAGTCTCATACTGTTACTCGTATGCCATTTGATTTAATTCACAGTGATGTTTGGACATCTCCTGTTTTGAGTTCTTCAGGCCATCGTTATCATGTGTTATTTCTTGATAATTTTACAAATTCAAATTTCTAGTGGACATGCCCACTTTCTCATAAATCTCAAGTTCTTAAAGTCTTTCAGCTTTTCTGCAATTTTGTTAAGACTCAATTTAACGCACACGCCAAAACTCTTCAATGTGACAATGGTAGGGAATATAATAATCAGTCGTTTCATGATTTTTGCTAAACAAATGGTATTATTTTTTGCTTTTCCTGCCCATATACCTCGTCCCAAAATGGCAAAGCAGAGAGGAAAATAAAAAAAATAAATAATATGGTTCGTACCCTCTTGTTGCACTCTTCTGTTCCATCAGTTTTTGGCATCATGCATTAGCTGTGTCTACTTACCACCTAAATATTCTTCCCACTATACTCTTAAGCTATGCATCTCCCACTCACATTCGTTACAAAACCACTCCACAATATAGTCATCTCCGTGTTTTCGGTTGCTTATGCTTTCCTCTTATTCCGTCTAATAAGATTCATAAACTTGAATCAACGTCTAATAAGATTCATAAACTTGAATCAAGATCAACCCCATGTGTGTTTCTAGGGTATCCTTCTAATCATAGAGGGTACAAGTGCTATGAATTGTCCACCAAGAAAGTTATAATTTATCGACATGTGAGGTTTAATGAAAGTATATTTCCTTTCTCCAATGTTTCTTCACAATCGCCCACTGCCTATGATTTCTTGGACGATTCAGGGTCACCTTTAACCTTGTATTGTCTCCATTCTACTCCCTTATCTCCTGTCGAGGTCTTACCGTCTCCTAAACCAGCTGCACCAAATTCACCACACCAGCCAAACTCGTCTGCCCATGCTCCAAATATTTCCCAACCAGCCGCTTCATCTCGCATGACCACTAGAAGTCAATCTGAAATTTTTAAACCAAATAAAAATACAATCAGTCCTTTCTTGTCACTACACCACACGTTTCCCCATTACCCACAAGTCCTCTATCAACATTAAACGACCCGAATTGGAAAAATGCTATGCTTGATGAATATGAGGCTTTAATTAAGAATAAGACGTGGGATTTAGTACCTCGTCCTGATAATGTGAATGTCATTCGCTCTATGTGAATTTTTAAACATAAAAGGCATTCTGATGGTTCTTTTGAGAGGCATAAAGCCCGTCTTGTAGGTGATGGCAGGTCACAGCGGGCAGGCATTGACTATGACGAGACATTCAGTCTAGTTGTTAAACCAGCAACAATCCGAATAGTTCTCAGTCTTGCCGTTTCCAAATCTTGGTCCATTCATTAGTTGGACGTTAAAAATGCTTTCTTGCATGGTAATCTTACTGAAACAGTCTATATGCATCAACCTTTGGGATTTAAAGACCCCTCTCGGCCTACTCATGTTTGCTTACTGTGAAAATCCCTGTATGGTTTAAAACAGGTGCCGCGAGCATGGTATCAGCGTTTCACACATTATGTTGCCTCCATTGATTTTATTCATAGCCAAATGGATAATTCTCTATTTATATACAATTCTGGTTCTGATACTGCTTATCTTTTGCTATATGTTGATGACATCATTTTGATAACTTCATCTGATGATCTCCGCAAAAATATCATTGCCCGTTTGAATTCGGAGTTTGCCATGAAAGACTTGGGTCCTTTGCATTATTTTCTTGGTATTGTTGTTCACAGGACTCCATCTGGATTATTTCTGACGCAATATAAGTATGCTTCGAAAATTTTAGAGCATGTGGGAATGACAAACTGTAAACCAAGTCTTACACCTGTTGATACCGCGGGCAAGATGAGTGCTCAACCAGGCCCACTATGTTCAGATCCTCAAAAATACAGGCAATTAGCTGGTGCTCTTCAGTATCTCACCTTTACCAGGCCTGATATCTGTTATGTTGTCCAGCAGGTATGTCTTTTTATGCATTCACCAACTGAACAACACATGAATGCCTTGAAAAGAATCCTGCATTACATTAAAGGGACAATACATTATGGTTTATCTTTGTCCAAGTCCCCTAAACATTCTCTTGTCTTTTATATGGATGCGGACTGGGGAGGCTGTCCTGATACTCGTCGTTCGACGTCTGGTTACTGTGTTTTTTTGGGTTCTAATATAATTTCATGGAGTTCCAAACGGCGACCCACAATTTCCAAGTCTAGTGCTGAAGCTGAATATAGGGGAGTTGCCAATGTAGTGTCTGAATCTTGTTGGCTTCGGAATCTTCTTCTGGAATTGCATTGTCCAAGCAGCAACCTTAGTTTATTGTGATAATGTCAGTGTTGTATATCTCTCTGGGAACCCAATTCAACACCAACGGACGAAACATATTGAAATGGACATTCATTTTGTGAGGGAAAAAGTTCAAAAGGGAGAGGTCCGTGAGGGAAAAAGTTCAAAAGGGAGAGGTCCGTGTTCATCATGTTTCCTCTCGTTATCAGATTGCTGACATCTTCACCAAGAGCATTTTGTTTGATGATTTCAGAGACAGTCTTCGAGTTTTTTGTTCCACTCCCGCTAAGACTGAGGGGGTGTGTTAGTGTAATACATCTTGTACATAATTAGTTTCCTTGTATGATGCCCTAGCTAGCCTTGTATATATATATAGCAACTCTTTGTACTGTATCACGGACGGAATACAATTACACTCTCTATTCCTTCTCTTTCTTCTCTCTAATTTTATATTATTTTATAACATTTTTATAATTAACAATAATTATTATAATAATTTTAAATTATAGTTGTTTAATTAATGTAACATTAATAATATTTCTATGATGCACTCATTGAATTATTGACTCCTCATTAAATCAATGATCTATACATTCTATTTTTTTGACTGAATTAATGTTCAGGCCAAATTTAATTAATAAAACAGCTTCTAACTATAAATACCAAAATTAAGTGATTTTTGTTGACCTAAAATTGATAGTTAGAAGTGTTTTTGAATTCATAGGCGGCAAGAAATCGAGACGTAAACTGGAACTTGGTGTCAAAGGTTGAGTGGGCATGCACTAAAATGAAATATCATGTCTATTTGGATTCTTACGGGCTATATATCACAAAACATGGCCACCAAAGCTAAGGCTTTTGATAGTAGAGATGGGGGCATTACGTAGCTCCATGTCACACTCGTTACAAGCTAAGAAATTGTAGAATACATAAATTTATCCTTGAATTTTGTTATTGTAACGTTGTGGCATTCTTAACTTTCATTATGAGCTAAACAAAATTACAATAATGGTAATAACAGTAATTTAAAATTAGATTTAAGAACAAAATCTCAATATTTGAGTGACAATAACTCAGATGTATAAACAGATCTAAGGATTATTTGCAAAAAACCAAACAAAAAAGGAAAATGAGTGACCAACGGTGAGAGCTCATCGATGGCCACGATGGAAGAAGAAAAGAGAGATTTTAGGTTTTGAGAGAAAAAGACAGAGATAAAGGGGGGGGGGGCTTACTCCTTGCATTTTGTTATCATCGCCCATGTAACGTGCTACGCACTCATTGGCTTAACTCGTTCATTATGTAGGCTAACACAAAATTACCAATACTATCGAGTAATAACCAGTAAAATCTGTTTAAAATTAAGATTAAGAAGCAACTAATCTCAATATTTTGTGTGCTAGTGACAATAACTCAAGATGTATAAACAGTATCTTCAAGGATTATGTGTGCAGAGAACGAAATAAATACCAAACTAAAAAAGGAAAATGAAGAAGTGGCACCAACCGGCGTGAAGAGGTGCATCGATCGGCCACGATGGCAAGGGAGAAAAGAGAGATGTTAGCTTTTGATGAGAAAAAGACAGAGATAAGGGCGGGGGAGGGAGAGGACGCAAACTGTGCATAAACAATAACTTCATGTCTTTTTATTTTTTCATTGCATCTTGTATCTGTATCTCCCTTTCAAAATGAGATAGTTCTAAGGGGGGGGGGGGAGAGGACGCAAATGTGGATAAAAATAACTTCATGTCTTTTATTTTTATTGCATTTTATGTATTCCACTTCAAAATGAATAGTTTAATATTGAAAACATATATACAATTTGATATTAACGTGTTACTATGGAAAATATGTAATTTATCATAAAACTACATCAATTTATATATTTATCACCGTTTTTTAAAATATTAATTTTATTTATATATTAGAATTTGTTGGACAATTTTATTTAAATTATTGTTAAACGAACTACTTATTTAATTTTTAAAATTTAAATAAAAAATATTTGCTAAAACAAATAAAATTATGAAAGTACATAATAAACTATCATTTACTGTAAAAAGAAAAAAAAAACTTTAAATAAATTTAAAATTTGATGCATTTAATCTCATATTATTTAAAAAATATTAAATAGAACTATGAGTTATAATATTAAATTATTTCTTTGAATAAATTAAATACCATGCGCTTATTCAATGAATTTATAATTCTAAAGTTCTTACAAATTATTAAGTTGTAACTAAATAACCAATAATAAACAAAGAATTGAATTATAAATTTATAATACTATTGTGTAGTTTAGTATTTATGAGAACTTTTGTGTATTCATATAATAAAATCGAACCTAAAACTAAAATTAAATATTAAAATTAATGAAAAAAATTTAATGGGAAATAAAAAGTATTTGTTGACTTGTATTATAATTTATAAAGACTAATTAAAAATAAAATAAAGATCGATTCAAAAATAGTTTTCATAAATAAAAATCTTGCCAGGAACTATCACCGTCAAACGACCAGAAACTACTGCAAAAGTAACGCACAAAGAAGTTTTAAGAAAGCCAGGGGGAGTCCCCACTCTTCCTCCGTCACTGCATATAAGGACTATAGAATATATAGGAACCTATACCTACTTGATAGTGCTATTTCATGTTTTTCAAGAATGGGAGAAAAAGAATATTAGCTACTATGATTGCCATTATCATAGGTTGGGGTTTTTCTTGCGGATTATTATTAATATAGATTTTAATTATATGTACCTAATTTTTAGGGGCATTTTTATAAAGAAAATCATAATACTAAAAAAATATTAATAAAAAAAATAATAATATTTTTTATGAATAAATAATAAAAATTAACACATGAATAAATAATAAAAATATTAAAAAAATACTAAAAAAAAATTAACGACTGGAAGCTATACAATTGGGATGACTTTCACTTTAACTCACTAAATTATTGAAATATGGTCACAAAATTCAAACTTGAAACTTTTCACTTCTCGTATAAATGAGAAAGTCAACTAGTCCACCATTTAATTTGGGTGGTTTATTCTTTCTCATTGTTAATTCTTGTGATATCAAGGAGGATTCATAACACCCAAATCATTGTTAATCCCATGATAAATTTTACTTTGCAACTCTTTTTATTTTGTTATTTTATTAAGTTTCTGTGAATAGTAAACTATAGGAAAAGTGAGTGTCCTGATAATGGCAATAAATGAGATCTGGGTGATGACTCAGAAAAGTTAAAGTGATGAATGTGGCGTTCTATGTAACATCAGGGAACAGCTTTCTGCTTGACAAGACTCATGACATTACATTATTGCTTTGGTTCAATTAATAATAATTAATATTTTCTTCAGAAATAATATATATAGTTCTAAATGTGTCAACATCAAGGAACAGCTTTCCTTGCGTTGACCCAAAGACTTCATGACCATCCTACTATCTTATTGGCTTTGAGTTACAATTACATTATATAATTCAATCTTTTCTTCCAGAAATATATCAATTACTGATACTATAGTTACTTATCTATCATAGTTAGATAATACTAATACTTGCTAATATAACCTATATATATGTTATATTTGTATGGTGTTATTTTCCTGGTCAAGTTATTTTGTTATCTATAATTATTTATTAAGGATTTTTTAGTATTTTAATTATTTTAATAGTTCTTTATTCTAGTTTATGTTATGATTAGGATTTTTAGTATTTTTAATTATTTTAATTAGTTTTTATTTAGTTTTATTTATGTTTTTTTCCAAAGTTTCCTTGAATTATATTTCACTTGATCTTGAGGAATTTTGTAAGATTTTTTATAGAAAATCAGCCAAAAATGCAGAAAAGACTGTACCTAAGCCGTGTCAGATAGCACGCCCGTACTAAAGACCAGATTTGCATTGGGCCGAAAATGTTAGTTCCAGCCCATACCGCTTGCATGGACCCGCATGAGATGCTTTTCTGATGTACCAATCAAGTTTAAATCATATTTAGATGTTGGGAGAGTCTTAATTGGGAGAATATAAAACCTAAATAGTTTTCTATCTCCAAAAGATTTCTTATTCAATAAAGATTCACTTTCATAAACGAACACGAAAATATCCCAAAAAGTCTATATAAATAAAGAGACTAGTCATAGTCAAAGGGATCCATTCATGGTATAATCCATCTCTTATTCTAGTATTTTCTACATAGTTCTCTCTCTTTAAGACTTCAAGCATTCAAGTTGGTGTCAAGATTCAATGAAGCCGTTCAAGCCTATCGTTGACTAGTTTTTATTTCTAAACTCTTTTTTTTTTGTTTATTATTCTTTATGAGATTATTTACAAGTTTAATTGAGTTTTATTTAATTACTATGTCGAACTAAACTCTCATACTAGGGATTTGAGTTTTATTAATTAACTAGAGCTTCTGAAGCTAACTCTTCTACTAGGGACCTTTGACCGTGTAACTTAATTTTCGAATTGTTAATTCTTATTAATATTAAGGATTTGGTTTTTCTTCGGTTCAAACAGTATTAATTTATTATTTTGAACTTAATGCTTTCAGGCAGATTCTTTCTCCCCTCGAATTGATTTATTTCTTGCATCACTATCGGTAAGAAGATCTTTTATATGAAACGACTGCGGGTAATAAGATTACATGAGAATTAATAACCTTGACTGCAGCGGCAGAAGCTATACTGGCTTTGAACTCATGGAGGGTATTTCACTTTTAATTAAACAACCCTTAGCGCAGGTTTACTAAGTTCATTAAACAAAGCAATAAAAGTTTAATTCGACATTTAACTTCTCTATGCGTTTGATTGCGCATATTGGAAATAATAAGGTAATATTAGACCGGACGTTAAAATAGCGTCAACAATACATTGGTTTACGGATCGCTATACGTTACGCTGATTTTAGGGTTTGTTTCCCCTACTTGAAACAATTAAAATTAATTATCACAACAACTAAATAAATTAAGTGAAGTCAAAATCCCTAGTAGTTTTTAATCCTTGATTTCTTTTTGGTTGTTTCCCCTACTTGAACAAT